GGGGAGGGGAGAGGAGAGAAGGGGAAGGGAGGGGGTAATCTATATGATGGAGCATGATTGTGGACAGGATATGATGATGATGAATTTCTGCCGGCATCATAATGAGAATTACTGTGGCCAATCACCATCATCATCATCGTCATCATCTTAATCATTATCATCATCATCATCATCTTAATCATCAGCATTCATCCTAATCATCATCATCATCATCATCATCATCATTATTATCACCATTTGAAGACTTGAAAGCACATAAGAGGTTAACCACTTGATGAAGGTCTTGGCACGTGTCTATTGTCAGGTCTTGACACGTGTCAATTACCGTCGCTAGCAATCATCATCGTCGTCGGAACGAGGGAAAGGTGAGGGCCAGCCGTCTCACACAAAAATACAGGATTACTTTCGTAGACCGACAGGTGTCATAATAAAGTGCACCCTACATATCCCATTGTATTCATCATCCGCGTAAGAGTTTTTTTGTTTTTGTTTTTTTTTGTGTGTGTTTGTTTGTTTTCCCTTCCTGTCGAAGGGAGAGTAGTGTTATTCCTTGACACGTGTGTTTCTCGGATAGGGTCTGAAATTTTCGCTTGCCCGAAGAAAAGAATAGCCTCTTTTTTAAAATTTTTCCTTAAATTTACTGAATTTTATTTAGAATTTTATTTAATAATTTTTCTATTTATTGTATTAAAAAAATTAAATAATATGCATATATGCATATATATTGTCACATGATATCAGAGCGCCAAAGCGAAAAAACCAAGGAAAACAAAAAAAACCTTAAATTCGTTTTTATTCGTCAAACAGAGCTGCCCGGTTAACCGTAGGCAGAGAGGGAGAAGAGGACAACAAACGAGGGGCTGATTCACAGTGTGACAATATATTATATATCTATATATATATTTGCGCTCCGATTCTCAGTGTGACAATATATATAACGATATATATATCTTTTTATTTATTTATTATTATTATTTTTTAAATAGATTTTTTCTATGTTGTTTGAAACCTCTCAACTTACTGATGTCCATTCACGCCTACGACGCTGCTTGAATGCGAACATAAAACGCGGTTAGAATCATTCTTTTCGGTCCTTGTGCGGTGCGCTTTCATCGTGTTCACATTCACATATATACATTTTTATAGAGCTTCACAGCATCTTTGGTTCATCCCTCCCACTCTCTCTCTCTCTCTCTCTCTCTCTCTCTTCCCCACCTACCCCGCCAGCTTTCCTTCTGTGTGTGTGTGTGTGTGTGTGTGTGTGTGTGTGTGTGAGAGAGAGAGAGAGAGAGAGAGAGAGAGAGAGAGGAGGCATAATCCCGCCCGTAGAACACATGCGCATTTTTGTTAGAATTAATGTCACCCTTTTTTTTCCTTTTTTTTTTTGGGTTGGAATTATCGTCATTCTCCGAATTGAATGCATGGGTCGTGTTCCTGCCGGATGGGACGCTGTCCATGTGCTCTATTCGGGTACAGAGTGAAATTGTTTACCCGCACAGCTCTTCAGCGAATTGGGTTATCATCCCCTGTGACCCCGAACGAACACAGGGGCTGTTTCCCTGCTGCCTTGCTTTGCGCTCCGAGGCGCATCCACATCCTGGCCAACGACCCCCGAATAGAACGCATGGGCAGCTCCTGCAGCTTTGCTGCCTCGGCTTTCCTTTTTCTGAGGCCCTACACACAACCAGGACTTTTTGGGACTCCCCTCTGGACGTGATTTTGCAGTCAAATGCATCCAGGCGTGGCCGTAATTGTCATCAGTCGTATTATGACCGTAATTGCAGTCAGATGCACCCAGGGGTTGGCGGTCGTACTTGCAGTCAGATACACACATAACAGGAAAGTGGTACCTAGTGGGAGTATGCATAACGAACCCCGAATAGAACGCACGCATGTGTGGCCTCCACCTGCTTTCCGCGCATTCGCATTCCACACAACGACCCCCGAATAGAACGCACGCATGGGCAGCCTCCCCTCCTTTCCTCCCTCCTGCTTCTTCCCGCATCCGCATCGGATATCCCTGTCCGCTGCATCGGTGTCCCAATCCCAACCAGACGCGCGCACATGCTGGCCGTTGGTTTTGATCATATCCCCGCACTCACCCTCGTTCTCTTTTTTTTTTCTTTTTTTTCTTTTCTTTTTTTTTAAATTCTGGGCATCTGATCGTATCTGGATTAGGACTTGGCTCTGTATTTCAACGGTTCGTCGGTGTGCCAACTGAGCTAGCCTCTTTGGTACTCTCCTCTGATTACACTTCCTGTCTTTTTTTTCTTTCGTCCATGTAGAGAAAAGCCGTCCACGTGTCATCCACGTGGTTCGATCAAGCGCTGTGGTTCTTCTGACTGCCACGTGGCATCCGATTGGTCGGATGGGTAGCCTCCCTTCTTCCTCCCTACTTGCGACAAGAGCATGTGATTTGCCGGTGTTATCATTTATTTTATTTATTTATTTAATTTATTTATTTTAATTAATTAATTAAATTAATTTAATTTAATTTATTATTATTATTATTTTTTACCCGGCATGCGATTTGCCGGTATTGTCGGTTTTACCCCTTTGCTGCCATTCGGCTGCTGCTACTCGTCATTTTATTTATTTATTTATTTATTTTTTTGGACGATTTCTCGATTTATGCGTGTCATCCTTGCGCAAGGGCCATGCTAACCTTCCTTCTCTGTATCGTTCCAATTTTCACGGATGTCCCGAAGGACCTCCTCCTCCTCCTCCTCCTCACCATCCTTATCTTCATAATCAGTGGAAATTGTCAGTGGTTGGTGAAGCCCGAAACTCTGTTAGTTGTCACTTAACCAAAAAAGTCCAAAAGGGAAAATATTATTTCAAAATAAAAAAGTAAAAGAACTTGAAGAAGTCAAAAAGAGAAAGAGCGAGTTGTCATGCACACCCTTTTTGTCCTCCTTTCTTCTCCGTCTTTTGCGGGCTGCTCCTTTATCATCATCATCATCATCGTCATCATTTTTTTTTTCCTTCGTTTTTTTTTTTAATTATCATCCTATCCACGATCACCATTCATAATTTTTTTTTTTTTTAATTATCATCAATATCTTCGTCTTCGTCATTTACCATCACCGTCATCTACCTTGGCTGGGAAATCCCCGGGAAAAAAAAAACGATTTTTTTTTTTTTTTTTGGAAAAACGGGTTGTGTCGTTTTTTTATGGTCGTTGTTTTTTTCACCAAAATTTTTCCGGAAATTCCCTTATTTCCCCCCCCCTTTTTTTTCCGTTTTGTTTTTGCATGTTTGTTTTTGTTCTTGTTTGTCCCCCTTTATATATATATATTATTTTATTTTAAATTGGACTTTCTGATTTTTTTTTTGATGGGAAAACCGGTATACACCCTGTTCGTCTTTATTTGGGAAAAACACAATTGAAATAAATAAATACTGTAATTAAAAACTAACTTAAGTCGATCAAGTGGACTTGCTCATTATTTACTGCGTTTTTTTTTTTTTTTTTTTTTTTTTTTTTTTTTGGATGCTTCATTTCTCTATTGCTAGGACAAATCTTCACTCGAACACAACGCACCCCGCGTGTCAGTGTATACAAGCCATTTTTTCCGGTCCAATACAGCCGCGACAAGGGTGCTCTGTCTTCGACGGAATAGTTGGGACCTTGGCCCTGGCAGCCCTCTGACTCTGGGACCCCTTTTACCCCTGGGACCCCTTTTATCCCTGGGACCCTGTTACTCCTGGGTCGCCTTTTCCCTCTGGGACCCTTATTTACGTTGGACCCCTATAGCCCTGGGACCCCTGGGACGGTTATATAACCCCTGGGACCCCTGGCTCCCCTATAACCCCTGAGACCCCTGGAGACCCATAACCCCCGGTACTCCTATAACCCCTAGGACCCGAGGGATCTTGACCCAAAAGTACCAAGTTCCTGGCCCGATCGTTGTTTTTTTTTTTTTTTTTTTTTTTTTTTTTTTTTTTTTAGGCCATTGATCGTTGTAATTTACGGTAAAAAACGAGAAATTTAAAAACGAGAAATTCAGAGAAATTCCGAGAAGTTCGCAGAAATTTGTGTTTAGCGCAAGTAAAATCAATTTCGTTCTCTGTATCTGTAATTTGTTGAGAAGCTGTTTCTGTCTCCAGGGACTCGTTCGCTTTAGCGCAAGTAAAATCAATGTCGTAAATTATATACTTCAATTGTGTTTAGCATTTATTTCGTTATATTTTCCTATTGTTTCGTAATGGATTAAACCACCAGTACTTGGCCCAGCTATCGGCCGCGGAAAAAAATAGAGTAGAAACGTTTCTAGTCGGATGAATTTGGGCGCTCCTGTAGTAGCCCGCACGTTTCCTAAAATTGTGGCGCGTTAACGGGCACGACTCTAGGAAGTACTGGTGGTTTAAAGAAACTGTATAGAATGAGTATTAACATCTGGATTTTATGAATCTGTCCTTATTCGTTTTCGTAAAGTCTGAACGGTCTGGATTATGAATTTAATGAAAAGAATCGTTCGGCAGAACATAAATTTTACGTCAGCAGATGATTTTGTTCTATTGCTTTCTTCCATAAGGCGCTTTTTTTTTTTTTTTTTTTTTTCTTCTTGACCGAAAAGTGGCAACATTTCTCGCTGTCGTCATGTTCCGCTCGCAAGGCATCATGATGCACGCTCTCATTTATACGATGGTGGCCGTTGCCCTTATGACACGGGAGTGTGGGCGCTGCCGGTCACACACACACACACACACACACACAGAGAGAGAGAGAGAGAGAATAATGCCAGCAAAGACATGCATTTGGGCAGGTGCGAGCCAGAGGTCTTCCCGGACGGGGGCTTGGTTGTATGTCTCTGTGTGTGTGTGTGTGTGTGTGTGTGTGAGAGAGAGAGAGAGAGAGAGAGAGAGAGAGAGAGAGAGAGAGAGAGAGAGAGAGAGAGAGAGAGAGAGAGAGAAGCGTACCCACCCAGAGTCACGCAGACGGGCGAAGTGACCGAACCTCTTCCGATCAAAATTCTTCCTCTAGTGGAGTTCTAAATTTGAAAAGGTATCCGTTCTACTTTTGGCAATTTAAAATTCTGTAAAAAACTAATAACTAAATAATTTATGAAATCTTTCTTCACTTTTCCTGATTCATTATTTAATGTTTTAGACTTTAGTACTTTTCCTGAATTTTAAATTTGGATCCTGACCAACTGGCCTAGTTCAGTTGGTACACCAGTGAATTGTTGAGCTGCACACCCGACGAAAAAATGTCCCGGAAAAAAAAAGAAAAAAGAAGAAAAAAAAAAGAAAAAAGTAATTCACACCCGAGTTCGAATCCCAATGGAATCAGATGAGTAAAAGTAACTGTGAAAAAGAAAGTAACTTTGGGAAAAAAAAAAACCTGCGAATTTACGTGGGGCCGATCAGCTCAAAGATGCATATTGATGAGTCACTGTGAAAAAAAAAGTAACTTCGAATTTGATTAAACGAAAACTTCGTTTAGAGAACGTTCATTGGAAAAAAGCTGGCTCTGATAAGTCACCCTTTTTTTCCTCTTCTCAAGAATCAAATTGGTCCTGTTCCTAATCCTGTTCCCGATCCTGTTCCCGATCCTGTTCCCGATCCCGTTCCTGATCGTGTTCCAGGTCCTGACCAATCCTGTTCCCGATAAGGACGAGTAGGATTGCAGCCACGATAGTCGCTGTGGATCATTACAATCCTGTTCCGGATCCTGTTCCCGATCCTGTTCTCGATCCTGTTCCCAATCCTGTTCCTGATTGTGTTCCCGGTCCGGACCTATCCTGTTCCCGATAAGGACCGATCCAGTTCCTATTAGAGTAGGATTGCAGCCACGATAACCTCTGTGGATCATTACAATCCCGTTCCCGATCCTGTTCCTGATTGTGCTCCCTCTCCGGACCTATCCTGTTCCCTGTAAGGACCGATGCTTTTCCTATTTAGAGTAGGATTGCAGCCACGATAGCCTCGATGGATCATTACAATGCTGTTCCCGATCTTGTTCCGGATCCTGTTTCCTACCCTGTTCCGATCCTGTTCCCAATCCTCTTCCCGGTCCTGTTCCCTCTCTGAACCTATCCTGTTCCTATTTAGAGCAGGATCGCAGCCACTATAGCCTCTGTGGATCATTACAATCTCTTCAATTAAACATGACAACAATGGAGTCACCACCAGCATCACCACCGCTGACACACTGAAAACAGCAAAAAAGCCACAAAGACCACAAAGACCACAAAGACCACAAAGGCCAAAAAGACCACAAAGACCAAAAAGACCAAAAAGACCACAAAGACCACAAAGACCAAAAAGACCACAAAAGCCTTTCTAGACGTCCGTCATACCTGAACCATAAAGAGAAAGAAAGATTAGCATGGCCCCTGCCTAAGAGGATGACAAGCATGAAAAAGATACTGAGAAATAAGATTTTAGCATGGCCCCTGCGTAAGGATGGCACGGGCATAAATTGAAATGCTGCAGAAAGCACAAGAAAAGCACAGCGGGCATGGAAACTACAAAAGCCACGAAAACCACAAAAAGCACAAAAAGCACAAAAAGCACAAAAAGCACGAAAAGGTTGAAAGACTTCAGAAAAAAAAGGACAAGTACAAGAAGAGGGATTGATTGGTTATCGATGACCATGATTGTGCGCATGGAGAGTAGTGTTTCGAAGTAGTAGTAGTGGTTTTCTCTTTCAGAGTTCCTCTTTCAAGTAGTGCATTGGAAGAGTCTGTCAGCACACAGAGGACCTAGAGTCCCAAATTTTGGGGGCGTTTGGTACTGTGAATATGAGACTTTGGGTACCAGTGTGGCCACACCTCTGTCCAGCAAGGACAGAGTGGGACAGAGTCGCGGCCCACCCAGTTGGACACCATGCGAAGTGCACGTAGCCACACAGCACCGCCCCCCCCCCTCCAACCCCCACCCCCAAATGTTTTTATTTTATTTTTCGTGTTTTTTCCAACGCTACTATAACAAAGGGGCTTTCTTCTTCATGCACAAAGTTTTACAATTTTCCTTTGGAAAATGAACTCCCACGGCCTCGCAGGCCGTTGACATTTGGATCGCTCAAAAGTACAAAAGGAAACCAGAAGGACCCAGTGTGACTGGAAATCTGCCTCAAAATTTGAGAATTTAGGTCATCAGGTCTTCCGTGTGAGTATGTCCTGACTGTTCTTTCTCAGCAGCCGAACAATGGAGTTAGTCGAAAAATTGCTGTAAAGGTTAGTTGTGTGGTGCACTGAGGCGCTAGTTGCATTACTCGGCATTCGCCAACAAATTAGAATGCACCAGGACAGGCTGCCTGTTCAGATTGATTCACAATGTTGGTGGATGGAGAGTGGTGCAACTAGGCCACTAAAGGGGGTGGACTCAGTGGAGTGAATGAAGGTGCTCAATTTTTTGTCCTGTTCAACCTGGGTCACCAGCGTTGGTGCTACCAGTCGCAGGGCCTCGCCACACCACTGTGCGTCTTCCACAGAAAGTGGTAAGATGCATCCATTGCTATTCATAGCAACGGATGCATCTCGCCATTCTCTGCGGGAAGATCAACTCGTCCTTTTTTCGTTTCGACAGTGGTGTGGCAAGGGCCCTTACTCCCTCACCCTCTGCTCACTGGTGTATTGATTGGACATGTTTGCCCTCTTTCATATGCATCCTCTGTTTTGTCCTCTTCTATAATTTTGTTTTTCTTATTTTAATGTCCCCTATTCTAACCTCCTCTTTTATATTCGTATACTCTTTTATGTCCTTGTTTACCTGGTGATGATGGCTGTTCCAAGTACAGATTTCCTGCAGACTCGGAAATGCGGGAGCGGGAGCCGGATGTGATTGTGAAGCAAGGGAGGAGGAGGAGGTTGACGAAGTTGAGATACCCATTGACATCGGGGTCGCGATGGAACAGAGGTAAGCGATGGCTTGCTGGAAATTGTGTATTTAAAAAATGTCTTTGATAGAAAATTATTCAATTATTACCAGTTAAAATTTAGAAACAAAAATGTTGCCAGGGGCCTCAGAGTGCCTACCTGTTTTTTTTGGGAGGAAAAATATCCTACTCTTTTTTTGTGTCTCCGAACCTCCCCCCTGTGATATTTTTTGCTGGGAACTTCCCCCCCTCCCCCGCCCAACTGGCCAAGGTGCTTTTTTTCATTAAGAAAAAATGTTTTCTCTACCCCACCACAAATGCAAATTAGAAGAAAAGTTTTAGTTGCTTTTGGAAACACCTCGGTTTTACTTTTAATTTTGAAATGTGAATGCTTTTCGCTACCTCGATTTATATGCCCTCTTACCAAAGGAAACATGCAGGCAGAAATTTCAGAAAAGGGGAGAAACAGGAAATTAAGGATGTATAATGCAGAAATATGGTTATGAAACTTATGATAAAATTTATTAGTATGATTATTAATTAATAATTAACGTTATTGTCATTAATTTTTTGTGTGTGGTAATGTAATCAGCTTCAGAAGAAAATGTCGACGGAAGGGATTTCATTTTATTTATTGATTTTTAAAATTTTAACGGTGTTGGCACTGTCAGTTTTTGGACTTTTTAGGGCCTGCATTGTCAATTTAGGGTACAATGGATGTGGGAAAGGCAGGGGGAGGGGGAGGGGTGCACAGGGGAGGGACCATGGGTGGGGGAGGCGAGGGCTTAAACCACCAGTACCTCCCCGTTGTTTTTTCGAAGACGTGGCCGTTAACGTGCCGCGACTTTCGGGGGTCGGGCAAGCCAACGTCCACTCGCTTCTGTAAAAAAAAAAAAAAAAAAAAAAAAGGAAAGAAAGAAAGAAAGAAAGAAAAAAAGAACA